AAATAGTGAAATAAAATTACACACAAAACTAGACACACATAAGGAATTACAGTGTTATAATCATTTGAATCTAAAAATATTTAATATATTATTAAAATGCATTCAATGCTCAAATTAATTTATATTATAAAAATAAATTTGAAAGATAATAATTTGTTATAAAAACACATGACATCGTCAAAAGTGTATAAGTAATACTACAGTATATTGAGTACATAGTACTTGTGTAAAGAAATACTTAAATATTTTTAAAGATACATTTCCCAACAAATTAAATATATTTTAAATTCAATTCAATAATTCGTGTGAAGATATTAATTTTCAAATTAATTTAAAATTTACTAAAAAACAAGATTTTGTCACTAAAAACTTTTAATGCACTGTAAATAATATCGACATATAATTACTGAACACATATTAAAGTCGCTTTAAAAAATAATTAAAATTAAAGTAAACATAAATCAAAGAATAACTGATTATTGCTTTGAAATGAAGATTTAGTAATGAAATGGTATTAAAAACACTGTACCCCATATAAAAACATTTTCGACTAATAAATTAATTTTTGTACAAATAGTGTATTAAAAAAGTTAATAAGTTGTGGGAAATAGTGGTCACAGAGTGGCTATTCTGGAAATGCAATAAAACTTATGTGTAGTAATTTGCGAGAAAATTATTTTGCAGAAACTAATTAAATATTCAAATTTCAATTAGAGAAATACGCGGAGAAAGAGATACAAAACTACTAAACGATTATTACTATATTTTTGGCTCTCCTTTAATCACATAATTAGCTTTTATGCAAACATTACTAAAAGAATTAGTTATTAAAAATTTATCGGAATATAATTATTAGAGATATGATATTATGTAAAGTTATATAAAGTATTAATTAACTGAAATGATTGTGTTTTTTCAAACTATACATTGGGGTCAAAGTAAAAGTTCATATTTTTAGATACCAACTAATATTCTACTGTAGTGTTTAATATAATTTGCAAAATCGTTACCACATTAACTAATACTAATAAATGGTCGCATAATTATTATTACGAAAATAAAAAATGATTGCATTTCGTGCTAACTCTATAGCGTTTTTATTTATTAATAAAAATAACTGAAACCATAATTAATAATATTCAAGAATCGCATGCAATTCACTACACAATAATACCAGTTGTAAAGCACTGGCGAACACGACTTCAATTGTCAGACAAATTAATGGACATAATATTCACAGACAATGAATTCATATATAACTCTTATGCCACATATTATGTGTATATTTCTATTAGTACTGGATTTTTATACTGAAACTATTGTATAAATTAGTTTTCATGAATGTGTGGTAAGTCTTGAATACATTTCATTGATTGTGTGCTATAATCAAAGTGATTGCAAACCTCGTGAATACGTCGGGATAATGAGTGCGTGAGAAGGCCTTCTCGAGCTCTTCCAACTGGAAACTGGTGAAAGTCGTCCGATACCGGCGCTGCTTCCGCTTCGGGAAGTCCTCCGAGTGGTGGTCACCGCCGCCTCGGATTATGTGTCCGTCCGCCTCGATTTGGTCGCCACTCCGGGGGCGCATTGGGTTGTCGTCGTCGTCATCCTATTCCCACATATTATCACACAATTCATTCAATTCATTATCATTTATAGCAATAAATGTCTTGTAATAAGCACTCAAGTCATGACACGACTTGCAATAATGGGTCATCTTATTAAAGGCAAACCTACCGAATGGTGTCTGTCGTCGTCATCGACTTTAATGCTGAGGTCGTCGTCATCGTCGATGTCAGACCGGCTGTGAACGGGAGACACGACTCTCTTGTTATAGAGATCCGATTTGAGTCGTTCGTCGATTTGCGAGATTTTGTCACTTAGGATGTTGTTTGTGTCGCACCTCTCGAGTACACCCATATCTCTATCCCTGTCTTCGTTGAAGACTAGGTTTGCGATCGAGAATCCGTTCGACCTCTTAATGGATGTCTTGTTGTTGTTCTGAATAGTGAGAGCCGTCTGGATCTGAGGTGACGTACAACTGATGGTCGGTTTGGTGATGAGTGACAGCGCTTCTGATTGCGTGGGCGATGGCGATGGTGTGGCCAAAGCGGTAGCTCTCATGAAATCCAGACCTGTTCTTGTGATGGACTCTGAGAAGGACGGAATCAGATAAGGCTTTTGGTGGTAAGTAGTCGTTGTGGTCGCGATCTCTTCATTAGTGGGAAATGAAAAAGAAGATGCAATTGAAATATCTTTGAGCTATAGTTTAGTTGAGAGATAATAATTGACTGATAAAGTAGTGGATAATAAACAAACAAAACAAGACTTTGAGATAAATTAAACTATAGTGTAGTTTAGCGGCGGGTTAGTCATCGCACATGTATTACCTGTCAAAGGAGCCAGTTTTGACTCCTTTTACAAACCAATTATCAACGAAACAAAATAACACAACAATTGTGTCCACAAAAAATAACTAATAACTTGTGAAGCACTCAACAAAAGTTTTTAAAACTTTTTAAAACTTTTTTGTCCAAAAGTTTTAGACAAACTTTTGGCGAACTTATGGGGTATGGAGTAGTGGATCAGTGTTGAGGCTATGGAACCGATACTGAGATTGTTGTGTAAGAAGTGTATAGAGTATGGGATGTGTAGAGAGAATGCATGACACGATCGCTCACAACACCGCAGATATGATGACTGACTTACCGTCGACTCCCTTCACACTCACGAGTGAAGTGATCAATGAGTCCGCCTTCAGAACCACTCGACTCCACCCAAACCACTCGTTCTCTCGCTTTCTGGGCTTAACTCCAACTCTACGCTCGACTCACAGACTATGAGAGGAATAAGACTTCAATTTATTGCTAACAACTATTTCTAATCACAAAAAATTGCATTTATTTTTCACATACGCAGACTTTTATATAAAAAACATATAATCTTTTCTCTCTCACTCTTTCTTTCATTCATTGACATCCCTTTTGGCATCCATTTCCCGTTGCTTACCATAAATCCAAACTTAATTTCAAATGCATTTAAATATAAATCAGAGATTTGTGGTAAAAATACGATTCTATGCAATGAATTATATATCAGTTATTATTATTATTAGAGTTTAAATAACTTTATATAACGTTCAGTGAATTGCATTAATAATTGGGCGAAACACCAGTATTAACAGTATTAGAGGCAATGTAATCAAAACAGTGACTATACGGTGGTGTAGCGCCGGTAATACAATATTAGTAGAACTAGTGCTCAATTATTTTGACATATCATAGCCATAGCTATATCCCAGAGTCGAAGCCTGAAGTATTGTGTATAATAATCACGCGCTTAGAAATGATAGATCACTTTAATCGCAATAATTCATTGTAATTCATTGCCCCATAACAGTCCCATCACATTCAGCCCCCTATCATATCATATAAGACAATATAATGTGCAAAACTCGAGCTTCTGGTGATTGCTTCCACAGATCTCTCTCTCTCTCTCTCTCTCTCTCTCTCTCTCTCTCTCTCTCTNTTTTACTGCACTTATAAAAGTAATTTATGATAATTTATAACTTATAAACCTGGTTATAGGACTCGTCATTAGCTCTCTCTCTCTCTCTCTCTCTCTCTCTCTCTCTCCATATTTTCCAAATTATATGAGATTTACATTAATATCATAACACATTAAAACGACATTAGATTTAAATCTCATTTGCAATGAAAATTCACTCAAAACTCCTAATATATTAATAAATTTAATATTTTTATTACATTTTTCTTCATTTTTCCACATTTTCTGATTAATTATAGCTTTAAATGCATTTTATAAAAGCATTTCTCAATTCAAACTGTTTTTTGGTGTTCACATCAAAGTAATTAAATTAAATAAATGCCACTTAAGACTAAAACAAATCAAGAATTAAATCTTGAATTTCAAGGCAAAAACGGCTTAAAAATTGAATTTCAATTACAGTGTTATTGCAATTGAATTAACTATTTGAGACATTCAAAAACAAGACTATAATAGCCATGTATTGCTTAATACACTCATTGCTTTTCATTAATTGTGAGTCTATTTGTTTCCCCTTTGCTTATAATTTTATAAGTCTTTAACCGTCAAAAAAATAAATACAAATAAATAAGATTTCATTAATTTTGGCATTAAAATTCAGGTTTGTTTGCTAAGACTTGTTTTCTTATTGAATAAATTGGATTAAATGTCATGACTTATACAAATGTTTGTATTCGAGCTAAATTTATCAATTTTAAATTGAATTAAATTAATTGAATCAAGGTTCGTTAGATGACTGACAGAGTTCATCTCTAAAAATAGTGTCATTTCGTATTATACAATATATTAGAGGTAATGAAATATAATGAGAATTATTATTATTAAACAATTAATTTTTAAAACTAAAATAATGTCAAATAAATAATTAATGCTATAATTGAGGAAATATTATAATGAAAATTTGGGTTATTTTAGACAACAGTAATTGAAATCTGTTATAAACAATGTTTTTCAATTTGAACACTATATGCGCTTTAAAAAGACTTATTGTGTTATAAATCACATCAAATTACAGCAAAAGGCCAACACTTTGGCCCAAAATTCATTAAATTATTAAATCATCCTTACATTACCTTTACATTCAATTACTTTTTAGCCTTTCATTTGAATTTAGATTCAAATTAAATTGATTTTTTGTGCCCTTTTATATAATTGCCTTAAATTATCGTAATTTAGATAACGCTTACATTCAGTACTTTTAATCTGTTTATAAAGTTATTTTTTAAAAGTTTTACAAACATTAGATCTAATATTTGTTGCCTCACTTTCTTGGAGACTATCTCCAGACTCGTGAGCTATTTATGTTAAAAATACATTTAAATATACCTCACATATGATGAAAATATGATATTAAATGTAACTTCAATTATTTTAGAGGTGGTCTTCGGTATACTATGTCTGGAGTGAATGGCAGTGAATGTCCTGTATATGAGAGTTGGATGCAATCAGTGATACATTACTTGCTTTTTAGCCATAATTGTGACCAAAACTAAAGCTGTACTTTCATTGCAAACACTCATTCACTACGAGTTTAAATGCAATTTAACTCATTATTTGTATTGTATTTGCAATAGTCGTCAGCGAAATGTGTTGTGTTTTGAATACCAAATGAAATGTTTAATAATAATAATAAGTAGAAAAAGTTAATAATACGGACAGAAAATGAATTTCCAACCACTCGTGCCATTCATACAACAGAATTCACTTTTGCTTTATATTAGTAGAGGAATAGAGAATAAGGTGTGAAATACAGTACAGTATATTGAATTGTCGGACAAACAATTGCTTTAATAAATTGTTTTATATTTTCACTTAAGTTCATAAATAATCAAAAAAGAGGAAACAGGGGAACAGGAGCTCGGAATTAGTGCCAATCGATTCAATTGTCAAGAATATCACAAACAATATTACACATGAGAGAGAGAGAGAGAGAGAGAGAGAGAGAGAGAGATCTTTCATAAAAAGTGAATATTATTCGCAAAGTTGTTGAACTGAACGCTATTTTTTGCTATATTTTCTCGTTTAGTATTATTTCACAAATAAGTGTTCGTCTGTCAGGTCTGGCCGTCAGGTATGGCCACCAACGATGTAGGCGTTCGGCCAACCAGTCAAACAAAATTATGGAGAGAGAGAGAGAGAGAGAGAGAGAGAAGAGAGAGAGAGAGGTGGTATAATAAGTCTTAACGAGTGTTAAGCACCTCCCTTACCATTGCTGGTGAGGTATGCATATGGAGTGGAATGTGTATGGATTGTCGCTTTCTTGTCCAATTAGCCCGTGCTGTCTGTCACGTGACCCCACCCTCACTGCTAAGCACTGAGTCGTGTCAAAGACAGGCACCGACTCATTGAAGGCCTACTCTATACTCTCGCCGTAAGTATTGTTCAAAGAGTGTTGTGAACTCATATTGAAGGCATGAATTGAGAGAATGAAAGAAAATGTTGAATGAAATTGTGTTTCAATTTCAGAGTATTGGTCTGTCCGTCAGACTACTGGCATAACAGCCTAACAGCTAATTTGCTTCAAAAACACATTTAACATATCACAGGGCGACGGGTCGGACACAATGATAGGCCATAATTTTGTTTGACTGGTTGGCCGAACGCCTACATCGTTGGTGGCCATACCTGACGGCCAGACCTGACAGACGAACACTTATTTGTGAAATAATACTAAACGAGAAAATATAGCAAAAAATAGCATTCAGTTCAACAACTTTGCGAATAATATTCACTTTTTATGAAAGATCTCTCTCTCTCTCTCTCTCTCTCTCTCTCTCTCTCCATTCAAATAAAAGTTTTTGAGAAAAATCTCTTTTGTATTTGGATTGCAATGAAATGAACGCAAAAGATGTGAACAAAAAATGTTTGAATAGTTGAAGTGTTGGGAGAACTAAACTCTTTGAAAGTAATATTTGAGTCTTCATTTGAATCCGATTCGTGAATTCAATGAAAGAAAGCACTTAATCATAATAAGGCAGATAATACTGATTACTCAATGGTCTCCCAAATTAATGCTTCAGAGAAGGCTTTTTGTGTGCATTATATTCATAACAATAATTAGTTTCTCAACAAAATTGAAGTTTGAGATTAGAAATGATATTCAAGTAATGGCTTATCGTTTGCAGATCTGATGAGTTTGTTATTTATTGAACGATTGAATTCCAGTACAGATTCACGTCTAGAATATTAATGTCAGACTATTTTAAAGCCAATCAAATCAAGTTTTGTTTCTCCTCTAAACCCTAAGAAAACTTTTCAAATGATGTTTAAATCAAAATTGCAATTTTCAAAACATTTAATTCAAAGGCACTAATAATTTGACACAAATCTGAATAAAATAGCTGAAGATTTCATTATAAACGCAATGATTAATGACATTTTGATTGTCATTAAGTTATATAACTAATGATTGCCAGCTATTTCTTTCATTTTCAAATCACATCATATGATAACACGTTTTAATAAAATTCACGTTTTTCTGTTGGAAACTAAATATATTAAATACATAATCAATGTTTGGCCAAAAATAATTAAAGCGAAATAAATGGCAAAACTATTAATAGCTGTTTAAACATTTCATTATCTAATAAATACGTTAATGAGTATAAAAAACTAATTTTCAAAATTCAAATAAAATCGTGATTCAAAGAAAATTGTATTTATTTAAGAGATGAAAAATTGAATGCAATTATTAATTGTAAATGATATTTTTTTAATAATATGGTATTATATTTATATATTTACAAATTTTGTTTGCGATTCTCGAAATGTCAAAACAATTTGTATATTTATATTCATTTAATTTTCTTTCTTTTACATCAATAATAATATTATTTTCTTTATTTTTCTTTCAGTTTTGCAGATATTTATCTGTCGTTTGCTTTTAATTGAAATGATTTCGCTTGAAGTCGAGAAAAACTGACTGAAAATCAACAAACGTTTGACATTTCATTAGAAAAAACATTGACTCCAATAATAAAATATATAACTTATTATCGATAATTGCATTTCATTTCTTCAGATTTAATAATATTTCCTTTCTTTGCAGCGATTCCTTCAATTCAATACTCATTATAATTGAGTGTATTTTTAGTACATTTTTCATAATTTGTGTGATTATTATATTATATTAAGAGATAACTTCATCAACAGTTAACAGAAGCACAACTAATCGCTAGCGAACTAACGTAACAGAAAATTGTTCACAAAGTCAACACAACTATTAATTTTGAAAACATTTTTCTTGTCATTTGCTTTAAAAAGTCTGTAATAATTGCCAAACAATTATGTACCGAAAAAACAATGACTTCAACAGCAAAGGCATTGAAGTTAATAACCAATAGATAAACATTTTGAACATATTTTGTAATAAACAACAGGAAATGGTTTGAAAACGGAATCCAATA